AAAAATACAGGATAGCCAAAACAACCCTGTACAATAAAGGAACCTCTGGAGGCATCACCGTCCCTGATTTCAAGCTCTAATATAGAGCCATGGTCCTGAAAACAGCTTGATATTGGCACAAAAATAGACAGGTTAACCAAAGGAATCCGATACCTTCTGTACCATCACCAATACACACACACACACACACACACACACACACACACACACACACACACTCCTATTAACACCTGATTTTTGACAAAGAAGGTAAAGTTATATATACAATGGAAAAAAGAAATCATCTTCAACAAATGGATTCAGACATGTAGCAGATTGCGGCTAGATCCATGTCTATTGACATGCACAAAACTTAAATCCCAATGGATCAAAAAACTCAACATAAATTCAGCCCCACTGAACCTCCTAGAAGAGAAGGTAGGTGGTACCCTTGAACAAATTGGTTCAGGAGACCACTTTCTGAACATAACCCCAGTAGCACAAACATTGAAATCGACAATTAATAAATGGGACCTACTGGGACTGAGAAGTTTCTGTAAGGCAAAGGACACAGTCAGCAAGACAAAACACCAGCCCACAGAATGGGAAAAGTTATTCACCAACCCCACATCTGACAGAGGGCTGACCACCAAAACATACAATGAACTCAAGAAGCTAGCCTTCAAAGTCTGTTATATCATTTTGTGGAGGTACTAGGCCCTCCTTGCTGTATCTGGGCTGCAAAAGTATCCCTCCACAGGTTATAGGCTCCCAAAGTCCATTTGTGCTTTAGGGTTAAAGACTGGCTCCACTGTTAGAGGTCCCATAGACTATCTTGGCCTCCTAGCTGGCACCCACATTCAGAGGCTTGGTTGGGTCCAATGCTGTTTCCCCAGCTTTATGACTAGGGCCTCTATGCTCTTGCTAGGTCAGGTCAACTGTTTCTGAGGGTTTCTGCAGCACTGTCTTGGCTTCTTAGCTCATTCCTCCTCCCTCTCCCCAATTGGATAGTCATTGGCCCATTTGATAATACTGTTCCATGTTGAAACCTCTTGACAGTGATGGTGGTGAACGCCTTTACTCCCAGCACTTGGGAGGCAGAGTCAGGCAAATCTATGCCAGTTCAAGGCCATCCTGGTCTACAGAGGAAGTTCCAGGACAACCAAGGCTACACAGAGAATGAGAAAAAGAAAGAACAGAAGGAAGGAAGGAAGGAAGGAAGGAAGGAAGGAAGGAAGGAAGGAAGGAAACAAGAAAGAAAGAAACCTTTTGAGCTGGGCTTTAACAGTCCACATATGTCCTGGCAGTACTGTCTTCAAAGTTCCTAATAGGACAGCCCATGAATCTCTTTACAGAATTTAGCTACTTTTCTAGCCCAAATATCAAAAATATTTTACATTCCTCAATAAAAACATTGTCAGATTATTCACAACAATATTACCTCCCAGTACCAACTTCAGTATTAGTTACTTTGTGTTGCTTTGATAAAACACTATGATCAAGGCAATTTATGAAAGAGTTCATTTCAGATTATGACTCCAAAGAATTAGAGTCCATGACATCAAGGAAACATGGCAGAAAGATAGGAGCTCATATCCTGAATCACAAGCATGAAGCAGAAAAGGGGGAGTTAAAGTAGGTGAAGATTTCTACTCTCTGTGCCTGGCTCCATCAACTGTATTACTCAAACCTCTTTAAATATCTCCACCAACTGTTGCCTAACTGGTCACATGTCAAATGCCTATGAGGAACATTCCTCTTTCTAATGAGTACACTGTGAGTGCTTTACAGCCTGTAAAAATATGTAAGGCCAATGATCCTGAGCAGGAAGTTGACAAGATCAATTATTATTTGATGTTATGTCAAAGAAATCTGTATTTCAACCTCAAATTAATTTAATTTATGTATAATCTACTCTTCCTGAACTACTAGAATATACACTGCAATGGATCAGCAAAAGCAATAGAAGTATTTTTCTTTTTATTGGTGATAGAGGATCACTGACTTTTCTTTATTCCTTCATGGAAAGGCTCATATCTTTGATGTACAAACCCTGGCATTAGTAGTATATACTCTTTATTTTGAGGAATAGTCACTAAGGGATAGAAGGTATGAAAGTGTGAGCCTCTTGATATCTCCTATCCCGTCTAATGCTTCTGCTCATTTCCTTCTTCCTCGACTTCCCGTTCTTCTTCCTGTCCCCTCTCTTCCTCATGCTCTATCTACCACCTGATCCATTTATTCCTTCCCTTTTATATTTTATGTATTGAGATAAATATTTGTTTGTTTGCTTATTTTAGTAGCTTAATGTTGCTCAGGAAAGAGAATGATTCAGATTGGTGTCTATATATGTTGATATGCTAGACCTTAAAATTCTCCAGAACTAAATTCATTTCTACTATATTCTGACAGCAAACTGGGGATACACAGGTTGATACTGAGCCTATGAAAGCATTTTAGTAAATATGGTACTTTGACTGGACTAGGATTTGTCACTGAAATCTGAGGTCAATAGTGTTGGGAGACATAAATTAGTTAAAGGAGAATAGGCATTCAGAATGAACCATATGGAACATGGAAGGGCTCTCCATCTCACTTGTCAGTCTTCAAGTGGCCAGGGAGTGCAAAGTTCATTTATGAGATATGGGATTACACTAGAGAAATGGGTAGGAAATCCCTGAATTCCAGTATAGATGTCCATCCCCTTCTTTTCCTGAGTGTAAACATATCCTGGCTTCAGTATCTGAGTTTATTTTGGCAAACCAATTCATGTGAAGCTGATGACAGGAGAGGGTTAGAAGCACAACACATTAAAAAGAAAGAATAGATAATAAAATATGATAGTCTAAAAGAAGAGGCAAAGTTAATTTAAAAGCAAGTGAAAGATTGGAAGGAGGCAAAACCTAGTGTTCCATGATTTAACTCACATCTCAATTTTCCTACAAAATAACCAGCTAATATTTATTGTTCTGAACATTTTTTATGCTTTCACATTTTAGGATGAATATATGTTCTGAGCGCATTATTGCAGTGCAAAGAAGACACAAGTTATCAGTGGCATGTGAAAAATATGTCTATCACTGCCCTTACTGTCTTTGATATTGATCCTTGAAACAAGACTTCTAAATCCACTTTTTATATATACATCTGTTTGATCCATTTTGCTTAGAACCATAAAGTTGTAAGGAAGCCACTCATGCATTCTTTGATATTTTATGTAACCATATCAAACACAACACATCTGCCTTCTGAATAATTTGCCAAACTACAAACGTCCTGTTTTTCCAACTTGTAGGCCTTTGCTTAATTTGTAGTTCAGTTCCCTTATCTCATGCTTATTTCTAATTTAACTTCTCTTTAATATTTTAAATTTGTCTGATCTGTCCCAGTTCAGGACTAGAAAAGATACTCAGAAACTACTGACCCCTTGCTTGTTCCCACAAAGTCCAACAAGTCAGAACAAAGCTATATTTTTGCTTTCATTAAGCACCTGTTGCCTTTCCTTTGGGTCATCTATTTGACACTGCAGACAGGCATATTAATCTATCAAAGAGTGTCTATGTAAACATACAGTTCTTTGAATGCTGCCCAAGGCCAGGTTTTATCACCAGAATCTGTGGTCCCTAGAGTGCTGAGAAACAGAAATTGGTTGAAGGAAAAGGGTATATTCAAAATTATCCTTGAGGAAAATAGAGTGCATTTCCATCTGATGTTTTTATCTTTGAGAGATCAGAGACTGCAAAGAATGTGTATAGGAGACAAGGGGTATGTTAGGATAATTATTCATTTCTCTTCAAAGCATAGGAAATAAAGACAAAAGTAAAGGTGGCACCTGACTGCCAACAGTTTACAATACTCTGTTACAGATACTACTGAAGGTCTCTGATCATCATACTAAATCTGCAGTGACCTTTGGTTACAGTAGCGTGCACCCACCTCCTGACGGCAATTATCCATGTCAGAACATATAAGAAATCACCATATGGGAACCAGATTACTATCCTCAGACAGTAGGAACTTTAGACCCCATTGAGCAACTTCGACTGACATAGTGATCAGAACACACCTTGGCAAAGACTGCTTTGTCATTCATGCCTCTTGCCCCCACTCCCACCTCAATTCCTTCTCCATTTAAACACCAATCACTTTCAGTCACAGAACATCTTTATCTATTTTCACTCCAATGTGCCACAGTGTTAAATCTTCTTACAGTGTATTTCTTCATCACTTGTCTTTTAATTGGCTCATTAGCACCAGTAGTCAAGCTATCTGATAGGGATACTGGAGTCATCCCCAAACTCTGTTAACATGACCCATGTCATCTTTAATTTTTATCGCTTTCCACAATGTTTTTCAATTGTTTCTTCATTTTTTTGAAATGTAAAGAAAAATTTATTGAAGATCTGAAAAATAACTCCTACAAGATTGACTTTTCCATAAAACTGTAGCTACATGATGCATTGCATAGATCATGTTAAAACATGCATTAGACACAAATACAAAAACCATGAAAAAAAAACACAATTCTTTAACAATTAAGCAAAGATAAAATGCCTAAGGAACAACATGGATGACTTGCAAAGGATGGGCTCTTTTAGCACCATTAAAAAAAAGGGGGCACAGATGGATGAGTGTTCAGTTATATACACTGAAGTGAACCTTTGGCACTAGGAATCGGAGCATTTTGTCATAGAGCATTAACACATATTATAAAAGTGCGTTGTGTCAAAGGAACAGAACCACCAGCATTCAAAAGCAGCTTTGTCAACTAGGCAATAATACACTCTACAGCATGTCTCTCTGTTGTCCATCACTGAATACACTGTTAGAAACTTTGAAATGTAAAGAAAGAAGAAAAGGAGCACCGACTCCTTTTATTTTCTCCGTTTAAATCAAACAGAAAACAAACATCAATTTTTAGACACTAATGGTCTTCAAAGTACAGCATTTGTACAAGAGAAGGACTAAGAACCAAACTGTTTACAGAGATCCAAGCGCGAGTGAGCGAGAGAGAGCGAGCATGCCCCTCACACGGCTTTCCGATGGTACTCAGGAGGAGCCACTTCATGATCACTGGCACTGAACAAAGTTGCAGAATTCTTTGCCAGGTACTTGAGGAAATCATGTAGACAGTTCAGTAATAAAGCAAGACTTTTCTCATCTAGAGGTGTATAGGCCAACATCGCTCTAATTCGCATAAGTAATCTCAGTAAATGTGGTGCTCCATACACCTGGGACATGGGTGCATCAGGCGATCTGCAAGAATCTCAGTGTACTGTGGTCTCTCAAATTTGTAGAGTAGCTGAGTGCCCAGCATTACATTGAAGTACTCCTTTATCCCTGCCACAACCTCATTAACAGCATATTCCTTATTATCTGTATTTCCTCGAGACTTCTTATAGTTTGCATAATCCTCCAAAATGGAATCCACATTCTTCTTGGCAGGAAGATAAAAAAGCTGTTTTTGTCTGGTGATCAAGTCCCAGTCATCCGCCAGCCATGGTTTCAGCTCTTCCAGGACCTTTACTTTACCTTACTTTAACTTCAACTCTGTTCATGAATGTTTCTTCATTTTCAACAGTTGGATCTACCCGGGCTCTTTTCTTCCTAAGAGGCTGAGGTGTCTCACTGGTACTGCCACCATCTCCATTTCTGGGTGTTTTCTGCTTGGTCGTTTTTGTTTTCACTTCAACATTTTTCTGTTGCAGACCAGATGTCTTCTTTCCTGGAGCAGCCCCTCTCATCTTGCCCTCTGCATACTGTTCCTGCTTGGCCTTTTGAAGCTCTCGCTGTTTCTGCAAATTGGTGTCCACATATTTGAGTACTCGGCTTTCTGGAACCCATTCATCCCAACTAGAGGTCTGGAGGGGGTGGTGTACTGAGGGAGCTCCTTCAGGAACAGGAAAAGGGGCTACAATATCCTCACGTGTCTTCAAAGATTTTTCAGAGCGCCTGGGCCTCCCAGCACTTTTTTTATTCAAACCACTGTAATGGATAAAGTATTTCACTTGTTTGTCCTTTATGGCAACCTTTACACACTTTGCTTCATAGACTAGAAGCCCATGAAAGCACAGCACTCTCTCACCCTCCTGGAATTTGGGCTTCAGGTCCTGCTTGGGCGCCATTTATAAGTGATTCGCCGCCTCCTCCTTCTCCCACTATCCCCGACTACCGCCCACTGCTCTCTACCCCACCCCTGTTTCTTCATTTATTTTATTTCTTACATACTTACTGTCTTTGTATGGTACAACAGATGGTGTGTATATGGGTTTTAAACAACCAAGGTTAAGCTGGATATTATTTCTCCTACCTTGGGGTTGGAATGGGATGTATGATATAGTGGAAAAAGTAACAAAGGTGAGCTGAGGTTTTGAGAGAATGAGCCTGGAGAAAAATCACTGAGCTAGATGAACCTGAGGAAAAGGGATTTTTCCTTCTGCTTCTCTCTAATTGATGCAGGCTGAGGCTGGGGAATATTCTCCCTCCCTGCATCTTTGAAGATGATAGTGACAACTCAGCTGCTGTTACTAACTCCAGGTATCTTTTCTATCTCTGGAGGCTCCTCCAACTCCTCACCCACACCTTTGTAATTAGTCACTTTGTAAATAAAATTTTGTCAAATTATCCCAATTTGACTGTGCCATCTGTTTCCTGCTGATTCCCTGATGGATATAATAATTTGTACCAAAAAGGCTTCAGGAAAGAGGCCATCAGTATTGCATTGTGTAAGCCTGTTAGCCACAGATTTGAGTATTTCAAGATAACCACCCTGTGGGGTGAGAGAGGAGATGAATATACCACTCAACAAAGAGAAGTGATCTCTGGTATGTGATAGCATCATGATTACTCCAACCACCAGAGACAGCAGCAAATGAAATGCAGATAGATGCAGAACAATGGAAACCAAATGGCTCTGTATCTTAGTTGATAACACTACAGTGATGGTTATAGAATCACTTTTTCCTCAATGCTGCTCTAGTTTCCTTTCTATTGCTGTGGTAATAACATTCTGACCAAAAACAATTGGGAAAGAAAGTTTTTATTTGACTTATACTTCTGGGTCACAGTCCATCACTGAGAGAAGCCAAAAGGGGCAGGAAACTCAAGGCAAGAATTGAGAAGCAGGAATCATTGAGGAACATTATTTTCTGGTTCCTTCTCTGGCTTGCTCAGAGGCTCAGGCTTACCTAGTTTTCTCATACAGCCTAGGAACACTTGCTAGTCAATGTACTGATTGGGCAAGTACCACTTGCCCAGTCAATGGTACTATTCAGAGTAGGCTAAGCCCTATTCCATCAGTTAACAGTCAAGACAATAACAGAAATGCCTATGGACTAACCTGATAAAGCCAAATATTTCACCACTGAAACATTTTTCAAATGATTCTTTCTAGGTCATGTCTAATTGACAGTTAATTTTAACTATGACAGATGCCTCAAAAATATACATGAGGAGCAAACTGAATTACAGTCCCAAATTTAGAGAAAGTAACAGAAATGCAAGGTCTCTTTGGCAACTTTAAAGTTTTTTTCTTAACCTCAAAACAAATGTGACTGGACTTCAGGCCCTGAGTCAATTTGGGAGATGTACAGAGTTACAGTTAACCTCAAAATTCTGCCTTACCTGGGATCTCATGTAGAAGGGAAATATAGTATAGAAACACACACACACACACACACACACACACACACACACACACACACACACACACACCAGCATATCAACTTATGAGGACCTTACTTCTCAGAACAGAGAAGAGGAATAGCTCTCCTCTGACTTGAAATGACATGAGTTACTATTGCATATTCTTTTAAATCACACTCATTACCTCTATATTCATTAAAAAAATTAAGAGAAGTCAACTTCCAGATTATAGTTGATAATCTAAAGAGTTCTGTAAGAGACTTGCTAATCAGTTTTGACAAGAGTTTAGAGACTATGGGGCTGTCGATTCACTGAATGTTATATATAGCAAGGGAGAAAGAACACAAAACTCAAGGGATCAAACCAAACAATAATTAGCTAAAAACTATGCCTGTAAGAACATGAGTGTGGTACTTATTGTGGAATACTAAGAGAAGATGTGTTACTTTATTTTATGCTGTAGAATATTTGTTTAATGATGTAAAGATGTATTGCATTTTTTTATGGTAAAGATGTGTTATTTGCCTGTATAAAACACCTGATTTGTCTAATAAAGAGTTGAATGAAACAGCAGCCCACAGACTGGGAAAAGATATTCACCAACCCCACATCTGACAGAGGGCTGATCTCCAAAATATACAAAGAACTCAAGAAGCTAGTCCCCCAAACACCAAACAATCTAAATAAAAAGTGGGGTACAGAACTAAATAGACAATTCTCAATAGAGGAATCTAAAATGACTGAAAGACAGATAAGAAAGTGTTCAACATCCTTAGTCATCAGGGAAATGCAAATCAAAACAACTCTGAGATACCATCTTACTCTTGTCAGAATGGCTAAAATAAAAAATACCAATGACAGCTTATGCTGGAGAGGATGCGGAGAAAGAGGAACACTCCTCCACTGCTGGTGGGAATGCCAACTTGTACAGCCACTGTGGAAATCAGTATGGCAACTCCTCAAGAAAATGGGAATGAGTCTACCACAAGATCCAGTAATTCCACTCCTAGGCATATACTCAAAAGAAGCACATTCATATAACAAGGACATATGTTCAACCATGTTCATAGCAGCATTATTTGTAATAGCCAGAAACTGGAATCCTAGATGCCCCTCAACGGAAGAATGGATAGAGAAAATGTGGTACATTTACACAATGGAGTAGTACTCAGCAGAATGGAATAGAATAGAATAGAATAGAATAGAATAGAATAGAATAGAATAGAATCTTGAAATTTGCAGGAAAATGCATGGAACTCGAAGAAACCATTCTGAGCGAGGTAACCCAATCACAAAAAGACAAACATGATATGTACTCACTCATATGTGGACCTGCTTTATGATACATAGTAGTGACCATACTTTATCAGAGCTGTTTTTAATGATGTGGCTCAGAATGGTTTCCTCCCAGATGATGACTGAGAAGCTAATTAAAAAAAAATGGTGCCAAGTACCATAAGAGTAACAGAACTGCTCTGTTTTCTAGGATTTTGGGTTTACTTTTTTTGTTGTTGTTGTTTGTTTGTGTTTTGTTTTTGTTTTTTGTTTTTTGCTTTTTAAATGGAGTGTGCTGGATGTTTCTACAATTTTGTTCAAAGGACTGCAGAACCTGGAAAAGCTGTTGCTGCTATTGATGCATAACATATTGCCATTATTGCTCTTTTAATATATATATTTAATATATATATATATAACCTAAAAATAAAAAAAATCATTTTGGATCAATAGGTGACAGAGCAGAAACCTGTGTAATGGACCATTAGAATTAAAAGCTAGAATGGGTCACATACACCCAGAAGAGCCTAGGAATCCTGCCAGCTTGTCTTCCTAGAGTGTCTCCTCAAACCTCTTTCACAGTCGTCTTTGTCCATATGGTCAGGAAAGTCACCTTCTCCTCAAGTGTGATATGAACCATGCTGTGTCTAAGAACCTGGAGATATTCTGGGATATTTAGAGGTAGGTGTGTTCACGGGCTGGAAGGCATGTCCTGTTATTCTTCATCCCAGAACATCTATCCCTGCATTCCAGAGCCACTATTTGTTGTGGTTAGTGACATATTGAATGGCTAAAAAAAATCTACTCTTCTTGCAATGGAGACAGAGACAGATTTACATATAATTAGCATGTCAATTTCTGACCAATGTATTGCATGTGAGAAATGGATAGTGAAGTTACTTTAGCCAAGACACAGAACCCTAGCTTCCAATATTTAAAGATCTTGAGCCTGGGATTCTGAGATTGACTATGAACCCTCAGAACAACCTGCATTCTCTCAAGTAGATTCACCTAAAAAGAAGGGACTTTGAGAACCCATCCCATGTGAAGGGATGCTCTCATCCAGGACACATGGGGGAAGGCCTAGGCCTGGCCCAGGATGATGTGGTGGACTTTGGGGATCCCCCATGGAGGGCCCTACCCTCCCTGGGGAGCAGGGGGGCAGCCTGGTGGGGAGCTTAGGGGGAGGGGAGGGAGAGGGAGAAGGGATTGACATGTTTAATTTATCCATGCCATTGTGAACATACTGTATTGTGTATCATAATTTCGAGAAGGGATTGACATGTAAAATTATAATTTGTAAAAATTAAATAAAAAATATTTATTTATAAAAAAATAGTTGAATGCCCAATAGCTAGGCAGGAAGGAGAAATAGGGCTGGCAGGCAGAGAGAATTAATAACGAAAAGAAGAGGAGAAGCAAAAGGAAGAGGGAGAAAGGAGAAGGAGAAGAAGACTTCAAGGTCCAGCCACCTAGCCATACAGTAAGAAGGAAAGAAAGGAATATAGAATAAATACAGATAAAAGCCCAGAGGCAAAAAGTAGACATGAAAATTTAAGATAAGAAAATCTGAATAGAAACAAGTCAAGCTAAGGCTGGGTATTTATAAATAAGAGTAAGTGTATTTTAGGGGGAGCTGGGTGGTGGGCCCCACAAAAAGTAAAGACTAAGAAAAGACCAACTATATGTAATAGGTTGAGGAACAGTGGCTATTCTAGTTCTCTTTCTGTGGCTGTGATAAAATATTAACCAGGAACAACTTAGAGAAGAAAGTATTTATTTGGTTTATACTTCCAGGTCACCGCCCAACATTTGGGGAAGTTAGGGTATGAACTCAAAGTAGAAAATCAAACAGGTTTATTTTATATGTCATTAGGCATTTCCTTGGCTAGGGAACTCACTAACAGCCAAGCAAGTACAGAAGTCACTTTGACATTACTGAGTGCTAGCTGACTCCCTCACAGGCTCATGCTCAGCTAACTTCTTTATATTGCCCAGGACTTCCTTACTAGTTAATGGTACCCCCCACAATGAGCCTGGCACTCATCCCTCAATTAATAATCAGGACAATCCCCACAGACATGCCCACAGGCCAATTTGATGTAGGCAATCCCTCAACTGAGACTCCCTTCTCAGGTGGCTACAAGCTGTGCCAAGTTGACAGACGAAGTTAACTAGGACAGTGGGCTAGATTCAACATAGCTAATATTGTCGTTATGGTTACTTGACATA